GAAAATTCCGTGTTTTTCATTTTAATCAGTTGGTTTGCAGAGATTAATTTCTGAATTTTGAATACTGAATATCAGTACTTAGGAGGAAATAGAGAACGTGAACAGAATTTAATAAGACTGTTAGAATGTTACTGTATATTAAACTTGCTATAAAGTTAAAACAGGATTTCAAGGTATTCTCTGCATTGATGATTGTCAGGGAAGATTTGAGAGAGGATTAGTGTCATCGTAACCCCCTGAAAGTGTTTGAGTATGAGTGCTGGAATATGTCGTACAGCAGTAGAATCTGAATGTGATGTACCCTGTAGATAATCATGTCTCTTCTCTAACATTCTTGTACTACTGTTCATATGGTGGTACTCAGCAAAAGCTATAATGGCATTGGTGAAGCTAGTTTTCTGTGTTGGTGGTGTGGTTTTTTTGAGGATAGGGCCAAAAGTTGACTCTAGATTTCTTTAAAAAAAAGAGTATATTTAAAATAAATAAATAAATAAAAAAGAGGTTTAGAGAATCTTTCCCTACTGGGCTTGTAAGTGTTGTTAACTTTCTATTTGTTTCTCTCTTTCTGTTAGGGATGCAATATCCCTATCCAAAAGCATAAAGATTGTTTCTGCTTATATTTAATTTCTCATAACCCAGCAAATATGTGTAGGCATGCTTCATCCTCTAATTTTAAGCCCACTGTCAGTGTCCCAAATAAAATATTTCATGTTAAGAATTGGATATTATTTAAAGCATAATCATGACAGAGAATATGTTGCTGTCAACCTAACATCACTTGAGAGATGTGACAATGCAAAAGATTCACACTGTGCCTAACTGGATGTGTGAAAGAATAGTGGCTATCAAAAATCCACGCTGAAGGACATGGGAACTAAATGGGAGAAAGGAAATCAGTTAAAAGATGCTGAAACTTGGTAAAATGCTTGAGTGTGGCAGAAGCTGAAACTGTCCTTATTGGCTGAGAATCTCAGTGGGATGGCTTAGCTAACTTCATACACAGGCACAGAAAATATGATGTTGTAGGAGAATACTAAGGCGCAAAAATGGGATCTCAGAAATTTTCCTTGACAGTGTCTTAGATATGTTAATTAAGATGGCGCAGACAGGCCCAGAAAATCAAAAGCGATAATGTGGTCCTCCCACCATCTAGCATTCAGTAGTCTGAGCCTGGGATTTTCAGTCAGAAATCTGAGCTTACCACATGCAGTTATACTCAAACTCTTAAACCTTTTATTAAATACATGGCGGGGGGGGGGGGAAGACAAGCATTTGAAATGTGAAGTATTAAGTATAGCTTTCATTTTAACTCTCAACTCTTATTTCCTTTTCCTTCAGCTTTAGGGAGTTCTTACAAAGAAAAATCATGTTAAGCATTTCTTTAGATCAATGTTAAAGATGATAACTGTCCTTTTTTGGAAGAAAAGAAAAAGTTACTTAATACAGGCTTTAGCTGCAGCTGCCGCTGCTGGAACTTAAGCCTTGTTCCTTGAATACAAATGCATGGGGGTGGAGAGGGGTGGGACCTCAAAAAAAAAAAAGAAAAATATAAATTGCATCTCTTGTGCTGACTTCTACCAGCTGTGAATGATTGGTACAAAATATACTTTTAAAACTGATTCCAAGATTTGGCATATTTATACTAGCATTAGACTGCGAAAGGTACTACTGTAGCTACAGTTTTACCTGTTGACTTACAGTACTATCAGAAGAGAAACCATTCACTGAGAATGGTTAAGCAGAGAAAAACAAGTAAAAAATATTAAAGAAAATATGGAAAAAGGAGTACAGAAATATTGAGGCAATGGAAGAATGTAAATCTTCTGTTACTTTGAAATCAAATGTAGCTTTAGGTTGCAGTATATTAATTAGCAAACATACTTCATATTCAAAGCTCATAATTTCTTTTGTGTTATTCGGAAGTAGGCCAATGAAAAAAACCTGCAGTGAGGCACAAAGATAATGGCATCTAGAATTTTTTCCACTGAATGTACTATAATATCGTCCTGCTTCTGCTGTTGCATTTGTTTGATAACACATATTCAGTTTGCTTCAGTAACAGCAGGGATGGCTTATATGTGTTCTGTTTTTTGAGTTACTCCCCACACAGAGGTCCACAGATTGGTAGGAATCCATTTTTCATCACAGACTTGCAAGCCTGAGATTAATTAAAATATGCATTCACTGCTGTTAAATAAAATTTGTCCAGATGAGATTTTTAAAATATATTGAAAGTGATCAGCTCCTGATGTCCTTTTTCAAGGTATTATCCAGGGAACAGTTAAATTACTAGGAACTTGATCAATGAGAGTAATTTCTCTTCATCTTTTAATAGAAGAAAATTAGCTGCTGGGCTTGTCAGAACCAGCTTTTTCATTGATGAGGAAATCAGAATAGAAGGTTCTGAGTCTTCTGAAATCCTCCTTTCTTTTCTTCTCTTTTTCCAACCATACTGATCTTTGCACTATAGAAGCTTCATATGTGTCATGAAAATGCAGGTGAGGTAGAGCAGCCATGTTGGTGTTTTTGGTGAGAGAGACCAAACTATGAACTTACCCTTTATTTGTGTGCGCTATGAATACACACAGGTCAAAATTTAGACATGAGTCCATGGGAAAATAAATTCCGTCAGATGTTTATGTTATTTAATGATTCTCCAATATAAATCCAGGAAACTCCAAAGACAGAGCGCAGTGACTAAAACATGATGCAGTTTAAATGGAAGGAGATAGCTGGCTGATAGGAGAGGAGTTCATCTGTGGATTGCTGTGTGAGTGAGCGCATAGTACACTAAAGTGTACTATACAGGTGCTGATTTGATTTAGATGTCCCTGGGGATAAATGGCGCTGAAAAGTTTGATTTATCAGTAATTCCATGGACTGGGTATACAAGTCATGTCTGAGCTGCCAAAGGAAACAGTTTTGCCCTTCCACAAAGTCTCATATGGCTACATCTCTTACTTCTACTGTATAATCCATTTTACCTCTTTTTTTTCAAGGTGATAAAGATGCATAGTGTCCAAAGGCTTTTATATCTTAGTGTTTAAATACTTTTCCTAAATAAAAGCCACTCAAGTAAAGGAAGTTCTACTTTCACATTTGTGATCTACTTCCTATTAAGTGAGCACTAACTAGGGGAGTAATCAATTAAGGTTGGTTGGTAATAGCTTCTGTATTTGTCAATATATTGACAGCTTTTGGAATATGATTTGGAATTCAGCCTTTTAGCTCCTTTATAACTTTTGTGTTATCTCGTAATGTTGCATCAATGTTAAGAGCAATTAACCATAAGCAGAATAAGCTGTTAAGAATATATTCCTTTGCTTTTCATTGAAAATATAGCAAAGATTTACACAATTAAAGTTAACGTCTGAGCAGAGGCTTTTCCAGCTTAAAGTGCCTAAATAATCATTGCATAAATGTAGAGGGGAAAACATGAATGGATTTAGGAAAACATAACTGATTATATAGTAGCAGCACTTCAATGAACATTTATTGTAGAGTGTCAGGATCACAGCAAAATTACAAAATTCAGCACTGTGGTAACTGTAGGTGTTTCAGAAATGTTGTTACAAGCTGTATTATGAAAGGGAGAAAAACGTCACGTATCACTATATGCTGCATAGAAATTTATGGTATGTGTTTCTTGCAGACGGTTTGAATCTCTAGTACCTCTTTAGTAAGAATCGCTCCTTCAGTTTCAGCTGGCTATTTAACAAGTTCTGAAGGCTGAACAAACCATAGAATTCCTGACATTGAAATATTCTGTCAATAATATGTTTAATTGTGGTTCTAGTCTGGCTGTTACTTTTTTCCCTATTTGTCTTAGGCTGGGGCAGAGAGATTAGAGTGTATTCATTGTGTGTTATTCCTTATCAGTGGAATAGGAACATTAAAACTCAATCCCTCTGATAGAAATTCAATATTAGGATTATAAAGTGGAAAATAAACTTTTATTATATACAGGTCACCACTTAGTATCATGTCTGTTCCCAAACAGGAGCCCACATATTAAATCTTTTATCTTAGTCGTAATTAAAACTTTAGTGAAAGCATAATATGATCATCAAGGTAGGTTCAGAGTTACTTTGTATTAAAGAAAGACTTTAAATGTAGGGTGAATATTAGCAGGTAATTATTGCAGTATAATGTGGGAACTTACTGACACATTTACCAGAGGGATGTTATTAAGTTTTGTATGCTTGGTTAAAAAGAGGGAGGACTGCCTAAACAAGATAGTAATTCCTGTAAACATGGGAAGGAAAAGCAAAAAGAAAGCTCAAGAATTGGGAACGTGAAGGTTTGTTTTGAGGTGAGAATCAGTCAGGCAGCAAGAGTGGGAGTGAGCAGACCACTGTGGAGAGATTTACTTTAGCCACTGAATTTAAAAAGGAGTGGAGTGATGATGTTGTTTCTGTGATTCTCCTCCAGTTCAAATTTCAGCTTTTAAAGGTGGCTGTATTTTTGCTTCTAGAATATTCTTGTTGTCGACCATAATTGTAGTATTAACTCCACCTTTGTTCAAATGGTTTCAAAGCTTTCTTTTCGCTTTAGTCAAAAGCAAGAGTTCCAATATATTATTTTACCAAACATCTGCAATAATACTTTCTTTAATTAGACATTTGAAACTAATGGGATTTTGCCATTGTTTTTACCATTGGTCAGGATTTCACCTTGTATAGAAAAGATGTATTGTTAATAATTTTCTGTATTGCGCAGTGAAATGCTAGACTTTAATGCCTATTCTCAAACTGCTATTATTCAAGGTGTGGAGGAGAGCCCCTAATGACACATGCATAGTTCTTAACTCTACAGAAAGTAAACTAAATGATGTGCTAGTGAAATGTTCTTCAAAGAAGCTTATAATTGAAGTAGTAATTTTTTTTTTTAATAAAGCTTGCAGGAAACGTGTTTAGGATGAAGTATTAAAATCCATGAAAATTCCTTTAGTTATAAAATATAGGTGAAGAAATCTCACTTTTTCCTTTTTGATTTTATAGCTTGCACGTGCAGTGGACATGCAAATATTTGTCACATGCAAACAGGAAAATGTTTCTGCACAACTAAGGGAATCAAAGGAGACCAATGTCAACTGTGAGTACAATTAAATGTAGCCCAAACTTACTGCAATTCATGCCTAGTGTGTAATCACTTTTTTCCTGTTTTTGTTTTGCTTTTGTTTTTGGATTTTGTGATTGACCTGACAATGTTTTAGTGATGAATCTAGTGTTCCCTACATTTCTTAGGAAATTTCAATATTACTGAGTCTTTTGTTAAAGAATTACATCACAAATATTAGTAGTATTTTACAGACTCTACAGATTTTAAAAATAACCTGTAAAAAGAAGTAACTGGAGAATTATCTGTAGCTGTCTTCCTTTTTTTAGGATTTTTTTTTTTTAATTATTCTAAGTAAAAGATATCTGCAAATTTGGTAATTATATTCAGTACATTTGTCGCATATCTTGATCAGAATCTACAGTGATTAGATTTTTAGAGTTTTGGAAACATATTAAGGTGCATGGTTTTTTAGACTTTTTTCCATATCAATAAATACAGAACAGAGGAATGGTTAGACCTGCCATGGAAAGTACAATTAGTGCATCTTGTTTTGTATTGGAATAGCTTATTGTGCAACTTAAGATAGAGCATAACAAATAGAAGGACTAAGAACAAGGAACTACTGGAGGAATTTGTCAAGTAGGAGAAATAACACATTAAAGTTAACTATGAACAGCCTTATATTTAAAGACGTTTCTTTCAGTTCATTCTATCCTGTACATTGCATTATCCAATAGGAACCTTATTCCTTTCACGATTATAGTTATTTCAAATAGTATCTGGCCCCAAAATTGTCTTGGCAATGTAGGCTGGAACTGGGGAAAAGGCATAAATACAGTTTATTCCTCTCCAGCAGGGAGAGGTGCCAGAAGGCTATGTTCTGCCTGCCGTGAGGCCTGTTCTTTCACTGGATTTGTGGATTCATCTTTGATACACTTAATGAACTGGCTTGAATCCTACCCTTAACGCTTTGCTTGATAAATAGTCAAGAAACTGATGCAGGGGCTATGTGTATATTCGTGAGAAAGGGCTGTGCTGGCAAGTATACTGTTTCAGTGTTACCTCTGAGACTTTTTGTCTAGCTAATTGGAGACTCTCAGGATGAGATGGGAAACCAAGATTAGGACTAAATGATGAATTTTTATCATGACAAAAGCAGAAGAGTGGTAATATCTTTAAACTCTGAATTAAGTCTTTACTGAGAAGTTATTTTTTCCTCTTTTTGTGTCCAAACACTTAATCCGTTCCAGATGTTAATGAGTGGTTTGATTACCAGCGTGCTATGGACATATGTTGATGCCATTCTACCTATTTACAAAGAATGGGGAAAAAAATAAAAATCACCTACTCCTCTGTACATTGTAACACTCGAACTACAGGAAACAGTTTCTTTGCTCATAACTCCAGTCTTCTACCAACTACCATTCAGCCTAAGGCACTCTTTGTAGACCTTTGCCCCAGTCTGTATTTCACATACCTATTTTACTACCACTTTCCCTTTGTCTTGCGTCCATTTCATCATCGTTTTCTCCGCTCTGATTTGGAACTTTTGTCTCATACAGTCGGTTGTGCTGCTCAGCCATATCAGTCTGCTGTCCTGAGTTTGTCATAAAAGGGTCTTTTATCCCATTTACTGAACTAGAAGACAAAAGGTTGTCCTGGTGGTGGATTTTCCTGTCCTGGTCAAGAGTTACAGAAATTCCACAAAATGGAGGAAACGGAGATTTGAATTTTGACTTTTCCAGAGTAAACTTAAAATTGCAATTTCAGACTGAAAATCCCTGGTTTTATCACATGCAATACATTCCCCTTCCTAGATTCTTACAGAGACCGAAGACTTATCCACGGCAAGCTGTGGTGTTAAAGTGTTTGGTATTCCAAATGCTTTCTTTTGGATGAAATAAACTCTGCAGAGCAGCCATTTTCAAATTGTTTTTGGCTGTGATTACATTTCAGATTGTGAGCTTCACATCTGTTGTGTTCATAGACACAAATATTAGCATAAAAATTGAATTTTTGCTCTTAAGTCCTTACCCAACTCTTTTCTTTAAAAAGATAATTTTAAAAAAGGCTATGTAAACTGTCTAGTTTATGACAGCACATGTAGAAAGAGACCAGTTACAGTCATAGACACTTTGAACGTATTAGTAGACTATGTAGGATAAAATTTCAGTACTGGAGGCTCATTGTGAAGATCACTGGATATCCTGAGGAAAGCCGATAACCACAGATTTAGAGTTTTAGTACATGTCATCAGATGATACTCTTAGGATTTGTCATTTTACTCTGATGCTTGGTTTGGGATAGTGATCCATTCGTGTATGGAAGTTTCAGTCAAATCCTGTTTTTTAATTATTTCCCTTAGAACATCAGGAGATGAAGAACATAAAAAAATAGGTCACTCCTGAATCACTGAATCCAGTCCTGTACTGCCATCTAATTTGTAAACTTCTTATGAAGAATGTGAAATTGATCAGATTTGTATTATTTAAAAAAAAATAGAAAACTGTTTTCCTTGTAAAAGTTACCTTTACACTTGAAACCTGTTTTGAAAGTATCATATTATATTGTCAAAATACATACACAGTAGTTATCTAGAAGATGAGGTTTATTTTAATGACTAATCATTTAAATGCTTTATATGTATTTATTACTTTATTATATTCTGCATAAATCATCTGGAACTTGATTCAAAGTGTGAATACTGCTCTCCATAGCTCTGGATAAAAATTGTTTTTTTGCCACTTGTTAGATAGGCTGTTGTGCAATCTCAGCAGCAACCTATAACCTTGTGATTGCTAAAATAAGGATTTCTGTGAAAATTCCAAACTCTAATTGTTCGGTGTCAAAGTTAGATTTATATTCCTGCTCAGAATCCTGTTGATTAGAAAGTCATAGCTGCAGGGTTGTATGTTATCTCTCTCTCTTCCTCCTTCCCTCTGATGCTTTTCTATCTGCTCATCATGTGCAGTACACACCATGCCTTGGGGGCAGAGTTTTTAGGAAATCAAGGAAACTTTACAACACTTGTTTTTTTTCCTTTTTCCCTCCCTAGCTTAATAACAGCTAGTTATTTGTGTTTTTATGGTGGTGGTTCTTCATTTTTTTCTTATTTTTTATTTATCTTTTTTTTTAGTGTAACCATCTCAGTTATATTAATTTCTGAATTGTGCTGTTGGATAGCACGAAGCAGAGTGGCATTTTTGTTTGCCTGTCAGAAAAGGACCTGGGGGTGCTGGTTGACAGCCGGCTGAACATGAGC